TGGCCTATCTTCCCATGATCACATGCTTTTTCTTCTGAGGAGAATGAATGGGTTATGTGACTGATAACAGTTTTGAGAATAAGTTGCTAAGTCTTTTTGTCTTTCTCATTGGGTCCAAACCATTTACAGAGAGAACACATTCTGCTCAGCTTCTCTGTGTCAAGGTTTACAAATGCAGGACCCATATCAGGAAGTCTGGTAGCTCAGTGTTGCCCATGCCCAGGATGGTGTCTCTTAAAATCTAGATTCACAAAAGATTGTGAAAGGTTTCCTAATTGCTACTTTTGCTATAAGTCTCATTCTCCCTTATCATACTATTCAGTATTAAAGGCAATATTTATATGGTCTCCCATTTGCTCTTTGGTCTCTTGTTTTTTAAATAGTTCAGAAGAAAGGAAATAGGATAATATTTATTAGCCTCACTGAATCCCACATTGTCACACTGGCATTGCTGTTTTTTTCTACATGATTTCCACCATGGATTCATTCAGGCAACAAGTACTAAGTGTCTGCTAGATGCCAGGTAACCCCAAGCAATGGAAATTCTTCCACTAGGGCTTTATGAACTAAAAATAGATATTAAATAGCTCATGAGTCTATTCTCATTAGAATGGAAACTTCATGTGAAAGTTGGATTGGCCAGTAGTCAGGATTCATACTATTCCAAATGAATTTCAAAGTATGCACGGCTGAGTTTGAAAATACTCTGTATTATTCCTTTTAGGGGACTAATTTGTGTGTCCTTTCCTTTTCTGTTACTCTTCTTAATTCTTCTAGATAAGTGGAATAAACTGTTCCTTAGGCTTCGGCATGTTTCTAACATTGTACCTCTGCCTTCAATTAATTTAATTTGTACTTAAAGAATATCTACAACTACATTTAAGCAAAACAGTTTCCATGGAAACATCATAGACTTTCTAAATCCAGGCTATGATGTAATCAACTAAAATGACTATCATACCCAAATTCTTATTTATTTCATCTGCAGCATTTTAATTTCAATCTATTGTACCACACACAAATTTTCCACATCTGAATTTAACTTGGAGGCATAGGAAATATTCTCACTGCTTCTATTTTAGAACTTTGTGTTTGATTTCACAGTATTACGGAATTCACATTTCTGCTAGAGTTAAGCTATCGACAGAATGGGCTGGATTATGTAGAGTATAACTATGATGTTGACCTAGTTTTTATAAAATTATGGAAATTTTCTTCCCATGCTGACAGCATGTGGAAAATCATTGTAGTCAAAATATTACAGAAAAGTGAATCTCACACACCAAATTGATTGTCACTCTTTGACCTATTAACATATTACATTATGAGATAGTTGAGGACCTTGCCCTTGATTTTATAAAGTATATAATCTAATAAGATAATTGTTTCATATGTATATATACAAATGCTTGATTTGATTACTTTTCCTTTAAGTAGTGGTTGTGAATAACTATTCTGTATGGCTGTGTATGGTTGATGTTATCTCTAAAATACTCTAATGGTAGAAAACATCTAGATCTTTGCTGGGTTCAGATCAGATTATTATTTTAGTAAATCTGGCCTTTTGAGCCTGTAAACTTTGGTCAGGGAATTCCATACATGGTTGTTCTTACTTGTAAAATTTTTCTGGTTTTTTTTTCCTCACCTTTTTCCTTTGTTCCTTACTTAATGGCGTCAGTAAGAAACATAGAAATGCAGAATAGAAAACCAAGGGCATTTATGTGTGGAATGGTTGTGGGACAAGTCTAGTTTTATCTTAGAGAACATAAAAAAAGAGAAAGGAATTGAAATCATTGTGTATGTTAATTTTATCCAAGATGCCCCATATATTGCTTGAAGGCCCTCGAAGAGTTCAAAATGGTCAGAGAATTTATATAGCTGTACTTCAAAGGAAGTGCTTTGTAATAATTTTGCAAAATATACCTGGTTGTTTTATTTCTCTCTCCATATTTATAGACGATCGTTCATTTTATAGACCATCATATATACGAGGTGGACACAAAATTTGTGTGCAATTAAAAATAGTTTAACATAGTAAATTGCACAGGAACTTTATGGACACCCTATGTATAAAATAATATTTTTATATCTGTGAATATCTCTATTACGAGTCTCAAAATTTCCTAAGGAAAAGAAGTTTCAGGAAACCAGTTGTCAACATTGGCAACACTTTCAGAGAGATAAAATGGACAGAAATGCACTGGGTTTGAGAAATTTGGAGATTATTGGTGACATTTGCTAGAATAGATTCAGGGGGTGATGGTTATGTTTCCTTAGTGCTCAGTCAGGTATAATACACCATCCTCTGTCTTTTGTGCATAAAGGTTTACTGTAAAATTAAAGGTTTACAGAACTCTTTGGAAGACTGAAGGAATAGAGCTTGGGAAAGTTGCCACTAAGGATAAAGGGAGCTGTTGAACAAAATCCAGAGAAATCGGCCCCAAAGATCTCAATCTGAAGAACTAAAGTGAATCTTTTTCAAAAGCTTGCCAGAAGCTGTTATGCGTCTCAATAATCTGTGGGAAGCTCACAGCAACTGTGTCAGTCGGTGGGAGCAGAAGACGTGTTAAGAGCTTCTCTGAAAGCCACGGTGACTCTCATCTCTCTCATGTGCACTGTTCTTAGAAAATGTGGGTTCTGCTTCCTTTTGCCTGATTCTCACCTGAATGTCTCCTATGGACAAATTATTACCCAGAACCAAAATAGAAAGGGGCCATGGGGGACAAATTTCACAGGCTTAGATAGGAGCGGTAGTGGTGCTGAGTTGCCAACAAGCAGTCTAGGACCACACTCGGAGTGACACTGGTTAGCAGGGCTTAAGATGTGGGCCAGAAAACAGATGTTTGGTTTTTTAATTGATTGAGAAATGATGAGGCATAATAGGGTGTCTTAGAGGCAGACAAATGATTTAGAATTTTTTTTTCTTTTAAAAGTAGTAATACCGGGATAGATTTTTATGCAGAAGGGAAGACGCTAATAGAGAAAGACAGATTGTGGTACAAAATGAGATGATTGTTAATGAGGCGAGGTCTCTGAAGGAGATGGGAGAGGTTGAGAGTGAAGCATGATTGGAGAGTTTGGATTTGAATATGAGGAAGGACAAGGTTTTCTATGAAACTGAAAATGAGACAGCATCGTGCAAAAAATAGATTAATTTATTGGGTTCAGAGTGATGAATTGAGGGAATGTATGGGTGATGACCTCTATTTTCTCTGTGGAGTAGGAAGTGATGATGCCTGCTGAAAGGGGGTCTGGCAGGGGTTAATTTTGAGGAGCGTGGATCTGTTTGGAGTAATGCAGGAGAAAATGGGAACAAGAGTTATATATGAACAAGTGTAAGATTGCTGAGTTCACTGAGAGAAGGCCAGAGCCTGTCCATGTGCAGTGGCGCCCATCTGCATAGCTGCTGGGTTTCCCCACCTGAATTTCCCCTCTTTGATGAATTTATAGCTCACTGGGTTTCCTCTTTCCTGTGATAGTAATGAATGCCCTGTGCTTACCTTCTCCCTGGGCATTCACCTGGACCCTCAAACCTTGTGTATTTGTGCCCAGGTTTTAATGGGCATTCAGTAGAATGAATGCTGAATGGAACTGAACCAAGCTGGCGATGGCAAGAGAGACTTGATCCAGGTTTAGTAGACTGTGGAGTCCATGATGTAAAAACAGAGAACTAGGGAGTTGGTGGGGAGTATCTGAGACTGTGCCCCTGAGGTAATTGAATCAGGAGTCTAGAGTGGGTAGAAAAGAAAGCAAGGCCGGGGGTAGGGATAAGAAAAGGGCTAAAACTGAAGGAGAGGAGAGAATAAAAATCTTGAGAGATTAAAGAATAGATTTAGTGGGGAATGAAAAAAAGTAGAACTAAAAAAAAAATAGCAATTGTAGTCCAAGAGTGAATTATTGGAGATATTTTCAGAGGTGTAGTATTTATAAATGGCCAAGAAAATAAAAGATCCCAATTTTATCCATGGAATGAGTGAAGGGCATTCAGAACATCAAAGAACTAAAGAATAAGGTACTCTTGGGCTACTTTATACAGTTGTACGCTACATCACTGCAGTCTACTTTATAATCCATATTTATTGGGCCTCCTGGGGATGCATTGCACAACCATCATGGTTCTTCATGGTGATCCCAGACTGGGTGTTACTCAGGGGAGCTTGTCTTCACACGCTACCTTGTTAGGTCTTTGTATATGATTCTTACAGTTATGTAAGTGGGAACACACATTACTGGACGTTTTCTGGAGAGAACAGAAAGAAATGCAATCCAAGTCAAACAGGTTTATAGATTTTGGAAGTGGTACCCTGAGATACGAGGAGGTTTTTTTTTTTTTTTTTGCAGTTTTTGGCCAGGGCTGGGTTTGAACCCACCATCTCTGGCGTATGGGGCCCGAGGCCTACTCCTTTGAGCCACAGGTGCCACCCTATAGGAGGAGGCTTTTTATGGACAGAAAGGAATAAGTTGGTGTGGAGAACCTTCTCATGCTGGAAGGCTGCATTCATTTAGCTGTAATCAAAGAAGGCTGAGTTCAAGAAGGTTCAATTAGATATACATAAAAATGTATACTATTTTATAAAAATCTATGTGCTTAATAATTTCAAAAATGAAAAGAGTTTCTTAATTTTAGAGTTACCTAACATTTGAGTTTGTTGTGCCTTCTTTTTGTTGGAAAGCATTTAAATGTTTGGTTACAGCATGGAGGGCCGTAGATTCAGTTGGTCTGCGAGATGGGTATTAGTCATTTGTGACCTTAAGGGCATCTTGACTGGGGTTAGGTAGGAGAATGTAGATTCACAGTCATAAGTGACTGCAAAGCAGGAAAGCATTTTTCAGGCATGTTGCCAAAGGCATGAGCATTCTGCTGCATTTGTCCATATTTCACCTGGATCTTTTCTGAGCATCAAATGGTGACTTTAAAATGTCATCTACTGAGAGCTCAATTTTATCTGTAGTCTTTTAGGTGCCTGGTGATATCAACGAGGTGAGGTAGAAACGCTAATTTGAGTGTGATGTCAGATTCTCAAAGTCAGTGAACTTTCATTCCATTCTCCAATTAATAGGTTTCTAACAGCTGCATATCCTTCAAATGATGCCCTTTTATCATTCTGCTCATTAATGACCTTTGCTAACTGGGGGAAAATTTTCATCCACAATATCCTCTGCACAAGAAATGTTTTGAAAAAATGTATTATTTTTCCTCAAAACACTTGGATGGTCACTTGGATGGTTTTGCCACATATACAGAATTAATTTTACCTTGCAAAGAAACGTTCAAGATATTTGGATTTATCAGATGGAAACGCTGCGTTCATATAGACATCTTTTAATAATTCACATTTCAGATTCTATTGTCCATAAACTTTAATTATCTACTCTTGCAGACATAATAGTTTGGCTAATACCTGTCCCTGCAATTGCCAACACGCTTTAGAATGATACGGCAAGTCTGCACCGAATAACTCGTCATTCAACTGTAACATGTTACAAAACCGAGAACGCAGGGTTGCATTTACACAGATATGGTTAACAATAATTATAAAATGTCGCTTAAAATAGTAGCTTTAGCACAGAGATTTTGCTGATGCGAGATACAATGAAAAGAAACGAGAGCATCTGGATCTGTTAATATTTTTTTTATCTGTGCAATAAAGCTTTCATGTTTTCCTGTCATGAATGGTACACCGTCTGTACTTACGCTCACTAAATTTACCAAATTTCGTTCAAACTCATGACATTTAACTTGAAAGTTGTTGAAGCTATCTATTCCCCATGTTGTGTTCACCATAGAGCCCAAAGTGAGTAACTCTTCAAAGCAAAGAAAATCGGTTATGACCTGAATGAAGTATGAAAAGTTCACCAAGTCACTGGTATCAGCTGATTCGTCCAAAGTGATTGAATAATGTATATTTTCCTTTTGAAGTATTATTTAAAGCTGTTTTGGAAAGTTAAAAGCTAATTCATGATGCTTATAAGTTATGGTTCTCCTGGAAAGAGGCAGTTGTTTGTACTTTGAAATGTTATTGGGGTTTAAGTTTCTTACAACTTTGACAATGCATTCTTCCACCATTTCCACATCACAGTATGACTTCCCTTTTTTCCCTGGTATATAAGCTACTTTATAAGTTGCGTCAGTGGCATTATTTCCGGATCTTATTGCTGCTTGAATGAATTCTTTGTTTTTGCTTTTCATCTTTTAATTTCTGCAACACAACCTTTCATATAACTTCCTCCAATTTAAATGATCTGTGGTCCTTATGTTGTTATAATGCTTATGAGCATTGACTTTCTTTAAGGTTGATGTTGAAGTATCACAAACGGAGTAAATCATCTTACCTTTAGCAGAAAAAAGATAACATTGTAATTCCCATTCCTCATTAAAAAAAAATGTTTTCTTTCTTTAGTGTTCTCTCTGTCTTCTTTGACATGATGGGCTGTTGAACAGACAGAATTTAAAAATACTTTCGAGTTGTGCAACTATTTACAGATTCTTCTTCAAGAAACACAACTGATTACAGACTGGCAGACTTGACCCCCGTAAACTCTTGCCAACCAGCCTCTCTCAGTAGTGGCATCAGTCAGGTGTGAGAAGTTAGAACTAAATCACGAGTGTAGCAGCCATCTATTTATTACTTATGGATTACTAATGTTCCAATTGTATCTGTTAATCTGGGAAGATTATTTCATTGCAACTTCCTTTATTCTTTGGTATTTTAAATACATTCATTTCAAAAATAAAAACATATAAGATGAACAAAAATGCACTTAATGAAAATAAAAAGATTTGTTCTGTAAAATTTGGATTTAGTCAAAAGACTGCACTTAGGAACCTTGAAAGCCACACGTTGTCCGTCCCTGGAATAAATGCTTTACACATAGAGAGGCCAGCAGGACAGAGGCCTACAAACCAAAGTTGCTTTGATTGCGTACATAATACGTTTTATGCTTTTCAGGGACGTTTAGAAGATAGACTTTACCATGATACATGTCTGTCTCATGATGGTAGCTATGACATTATGATGAAAGTAGAAATCCCGAGTCCATTGGCCCTTAGAGGATATATTCAAGGAAAGGGAAAAAATTTTAGACCCGGAAGAGAAGGTCAGAGCAGAAATTTCTACTTTTAATGGATGAGCAGAAGATGCAAATCAGAGCCAGAAATTCTCTGCTGCTTTTCTAAGAAACAAAGCTGGTTGGATTAAAAAAAGAAAGGATTCGTTTTCTTTGTTACTGGAGATAATCATTAGTCTTTTCCTAAGCATTTTAGCCTCATAATTATGAAAAAAGGAAGAGAACAAAATGGATAGATTGGGCCAAGTGTTTTCTTAATTTGTTCTATGAAATTATTCTGATATATTCATC